GAAAGTGGTCGCCAACCTGCTCTGCAGCCCAGCCTTGCCCTCTGGCATGCTCCTGCCGTTGTTTTCTCCTGGGGTTTGGTGCGTGCTTGGGGATGGCCCATGGTGCTCTCATGGGTGGTGGGTGAAAGCCCTCCCAGGCCAATCTGCATGGCAAGCTGGCTTTCCACCGGCTGGGGCTGCGGGGGAAAGCACCGCCAGATATCAACCATGGGATAGAGGAAAAATGATGGCAAGAAGGTGTTTGGGAGGCTGTCTTTGGGTGGACATGGCTAAACATAGGCTGATTGATCAGGATAGGGAAAATCCCACTGAAAGTGAAGAGTTTTGTCCACTTCTGAGCAAAATTAAAAGTACGGTGAAAAAAAAAAAAAGGTGAAACAGCCAGAAATGGGTAATTTCTCTTTATGAACACCTGACAGTTCATACCTTGAGGGTTAATGGAAGGAGGAGCCAAGTCCTCTTGCAGACTCCCGACGTGGTTTCCTCCTCCTCCTCCTTCCAGCATTGCTTTCTGCCCGGTGCTGCTCAGAGCTGCTGCAGGTCCCTGGGCTGGGCTGGAGGAACCAGACGGAAGGGCCACGTTCACCCAAGGATAACCCAAAGATGGGTCCCTCTTGGGGCAGATGTTGGAGTTCAAGGACATGGGGAGGCTGTTAGCATGAAAAAAGCTTCCTCCAACTCCCAGGGTCTGTCAGGTGCGAGGTCCCAAGCCCAGTCTGTGACAATGCCACCCCAGTGTCTTGGGCAGGGCACGGCCTCCTAGTAGGAAAATCTGATTTTTTTTCCTGCCTCCCAGGCACTGCTGCAGCTGCTCCTGGTCTGTTCTTGCGGGTGGTGGAGCCCGGTGGGCAGCAGAGCCTGACGTGCCTTGCCGGCAAATGAAAAAAGCTTCCTCCACCTCCCAGGGTCTGTCAGGTGCGAGGTCCCAAGCCCAGTCTGTGACAATGCCACCCCAGTGTCTTGGGCAGGGCACGGCCTCCTAGTAGGAAAATCTGATTTTTTTTCCTGCCTCCCAGGCACTGCTGCAGCTGCTCCTGGTCTGTGCTTGCGGGTGGTGGAGCCCAGGCCCCCCAGCCCCTGGGCTTCCTGCACGGGCTTGCTGACCTCCGGAGCAATGCTTGATGGAGCGGCGAAGGGGTTTAGGATGTGGTTGGAAAGCCCCAAGGAGCGCAGCTGCGGTGTTTAAAGACATCTCCTTCTCTGGAGATATTCAAGACCCGCCTGGACAAGGTCCTGTGCAGCCTACTGTAGGTGACCCTGCTTGGGCAGGGGGGTTGGACTAGATGACCCACAGAGGTCCCTTCCAACCCCTACTATTCTGTGATTCTGTGATTCTGTGATTTTTGTGTTCCCGGCTGTTGGCCGTGGCCTCTCTGCTGGAGTTTGCTGCACCCGCGGGAGGACAGGGCTGGGCTGGGTGAGCTGAGCTGGGACATGAGCTGAGCTGACCAGGCTGCGAGGAGATGAAGGGTGCGGATACCACCCTCGCCAAGGCTGAGATGCAGAATCCCAGAATCCCAGCATGGCAGGGGTTGGCAGGGCCCTCTGTGGGTCACCCAGCCCAAC